TTGATAGAATATCTTATATAGCGTAGATAGAAAATCAGGCCCTGGAACTTTCGAAGATGTCGCTAGATGCTATTTAAATTGTTTTATTTAAATTCTTCAAGAATGTGATTTGACAATGAGGGAAATGAACATAAATGATGGTCGAAGACTTAAGAAGGGTCCCTTGGTCGTTTCAGGTAACCCAACGGTTGTCGCAGTCTAAGGTTTGCCGTAGAAGGAATGGCAAACGAAATTTTGGGCAGATTTTTACCGTCTTATTTAGGTGTTAACAATGATAAAGAATACTGAATTTAATCTCCCCGTACATTACTAAACATTAAAACTTCACTTTAGCTATATTAGAAAATATTACTGTATATAAAAAGATAACTGTACACTTAAACATATATCCTGTAATTGCAATATAAACACGCCTTTTTTTTCTTTGGATGTATCATATGATGCTGAAATTGCTTCGTAGCCATAATTTTATGTTTTCCAGGTGAGTTTTTTTTGCCATTAACGTTATTTTCGTTCAGTTAGGTATCGTTCTTTTACAGTTCCCAGGCATTTAATTATAGAAAGTATACGGTTAGCAAGGTCGATTTTACTGTCTTTAAACTTGAATTTTCCATGAATCTCTCACGTACATTCATATCTGCTGATGGCGTATCAAATGTAAGCAAATGACGTCACACATTATGAAATGGACAAAGCCCGACAATTATTTTAAGACATTTTTATGTTTATACGTAAAATCGACCTTGCTAACCGAACGCTCCTCTGTGGCCGAAACGGTTAAGGCACGTCAGGCTATAGAAAGAATACTTAAGTATGGTTTGATGAGCTGGTACCGAATTTCATTGTTCAGTCATTGCCGTGGAGTATAATATTTTAAGGCACAGAAAATTCTCTTTACATTTTGAAAAAGAAGGACAAAAAATCTCCCTTCATATGTGAATTTGAGGCCTCTCATGGTCTGTCTCATTCCTCAACCCTTACTACCGTATGCTATAAGTTTCCCTTTATGGTCACTTCTATTCAAATTGAATAGATAACATGATTTACTCAAACGGGATCATCTTTATTTTAATTATTATTTTGGTTTGTTAGTATAAAAGATGTTATCCTAATTATTGACAAATAATGTTTGTCGATCCCAGCTTTTCAGAGATACATAAATATGCTTCGACACACTTATATAATTAACGTCTTCTTCTATGTACTGTGCCATTTCAAGACGTTTACGATCATGGTTCTCCACAACTTTCTGTCCTTTTTTGCACTTAGTTACGTTGGTTTTATTTTTATCTCCCCTAATCCTTGTGCTACCAATCATTTACACAAGCTCCTTAGGTAGATTATGCGCTGTTTTCCTCTGTCCCTCTTGACTTCAATCTGTCCTGTGAGTGCCAAAATTTCCAAGCCCTCTTTCCTCATTATATTCCCGAGAAGTTTCAAGTCTCTGTTTCTGACGCTATGTATAAATGTCTTTTTTTAATTCCATTTTCTCTTAAATTTCGTCGTTACTAACGTGTTTAGTCTATGGTATTCTCAACATCCTTCTGTAGAATCACATTTCTGTCGCCATAAGTTTATACTCCACATGTGATGAGATGGTCCAACATCCACTGTCGTATAGGAGGATTGATATTACATAACTGTTCAGTACGTTTTTCTTGATTTCCAAATAATTACTACTGCATGAAAAAACGAACGTGAGACCAAAAAATATGCGCATGAAAAAACGTCCATGAGTCAAAAAAATGTATGCATGAAAAAATACAAGAATACAACAAATGTATGCACGAAAACAAAGAATACATTTAATCGCATTCGAAGAAGTCCCGCTCTAAAGTTGCACATATTATCCAATGTAGTTTCCATTGATGGAAGCATTCCTGGGTCTCTTTTTGGAGATAGTGAGCAGCTACCTTGTCATATTTTCTTGGATTCTCGACGTCTTCAAATCTTGTCCTTTTCAAGTATTAGTAGATTTTTTTTTTAGAGTAAACAGTCGCAGAGATCTAGGAAAAATAGTGTTTGATGGACCTGGGAAATTTTATGCTCGGCCCAAAACTGTTTACAAACCTTTGTCAGTTAAGGAAACTCTGTTGTGTGGTAAGACAACCACACTATAAATTTTTCTTCTAAACACTTCTATAAACAATGGAAGTGAGCGAAAACCTCATGACTTAATTTGCATGCGCGACAGATTTTAAGCACAATATGTGCAAAGCGGCTTCAGTCTGCGTACTTGAGCACCGTTACCATAGCAACAGACTCGATAAGATTTTTTTGTTTTTTGTTTTTTTTATTGGACATCTTAAATGAAAACTAGAAATGGATATATGAAGAACACCACAGATGTTCATATATCCATTCCTAATTTTCACATATCCATTCCTAGTTTTCACATATCCATTCCTAGTTTCCACATATCCATTCCTAGTTTTCATATATTTTCATATATCCATTCCTAGTTTTCATATATCCATTCCTAGTTTTCACATACCCTTTCCTAGTTTTCATATATTTTCATATATCCATTCCTAGTTTTCATATATCCATTCCTAGTTTTCATATATCCATTCCTAGTTTTCACATACCCTTTCCTAGTTTTCATATATTTTCATATATCCATTCCTAGTTTTCATTCCTATATCCATTTTTCCTAGTTTTCACATATTTTCATATTCCATTCCTAGTTTTCATATATCATTCCTACCCTTTCCTAGTTTTCATATATTTTCATATATTTTCATATATCCATTCCTAGTTTTCATATATCCATTCCTAGTGGATATATGATATGATAAACGATATGTGAATCAAAGATGTAGATACAAAGTAGCCAGGACATTGTAGAGGAATCAAAGGCATGGATGAATAAAAGATAAGCTGCAAGCCTGGGAATATATGCGTGAAAGACATTGAGGAATCTATGAACAAAAATGCACAGGAATCCAAGGAATATGCCCAGATAAAGTACAAGAATACAAGGAAATGTATGCAAGTATGAGGAACAGGTGGATAAGACATGTAAGTCTTAAATCATTCATGCACCCAAGAATAGTATACAAGAAGAATGTGTAGTAACAGACGAAATGTTTGCAAGAAAAATCGAACAGAAATCAAGGTATATAACTATGAATGGTAAACATAATTCTTATATTATCCGTTTCCTCACAGGGAAATATTCGGTATTCATTGAGCGAGCAGTATGTGCTACTTTCGGTTGAAATATCTATAGTCTTCGTAAAAATAGGATTCTTAAAACCTTTAGCTGTTATAGTTTGTAGGAACATTGTTATTATTATAAATAAAAATAAAATATAAAAAAATAATAATAATGAAAATTATAAATAAAATAAAATTTAAAACTTGTTTAAAGTAAATTAAATAAGTAAAAATAATAAAATTACTCCCAGCATGCAAGATGGATTGTTGCTGCTGAAAGTATAGATATCCCGCCAAAAGACGGAGGATTCAGTCTCTTCGCCTAAGAACTGTCGGGATGTCAACACGTGTGTATCTTCCTTTCGTTATAGGTCTTGTGATATTCCGGAGTGATTGATTCCCTTTTATAACATGAACATTATCACGATTGGAATACAAAACAAACACACACACACACACACACACACACACACAAACACACACACACACCAATATACGCAAATACATAAATAAAATTGTATGAAATTACCATACACTTCTTCATGCCTTCTCTCTATTTTGTACATCTATTTTTCCTTCTTTTTTATCGTCATTATGTACGTTTGTTTTTATTCTTTTTCCTCATGAACACAAATTTACGACTCCTACGGTGTGAGTGAATACACACCACAAGTTCTTTCCAGTCTTGATGGGGAGTGTCCTTCCTAACCTTTTGTTTGAAGTAGGGTGAAACGTCGCCATCTTGACTGTCATTATTTTTATCTTCGAGTTACATGTGCTCCCCATTTTTGTTGTTGTCGAATGTCCTCAAACAATGCAATTTCTGTTATTTGGCACAGTTCCCATGTGTGATTCTATAGCATCAATTGAGAAAGAAGGGGGACGGTCTTCGCTAAGACCTACATGTTTGATACACCCAAAACCGTTTTAAAGCATTGAACTAAGAAATCAGATTGTTTAGATGTTTCTAAAAGAGTTTGGCGCCATGTATGATATCGCCATGACTTTTCAGGTTTTTCGAGTTTTCATGTTAATGTTTTGGTTTTGTAGCAATTTGCCTTTTTAGTCGAAACTATTTCATGTATAATTCTCTTTTCTTCTATGCTAAATTTGTTATAACTGATCCATATACCTAGGTATCTGAAATGTTTAATATTTACTAATTTCACATGCTGGTTTCAAGGTTCGTGCTATCATCGCTTTCATTCCAATTCCAGATCATATTTTCTGCTTTTGAAAGGTTTATTTTGAGTCCTATTTCTTAGAACTCCGTGTCTGTTCAGGATCATTCTTATCTTCAAAACCTTAATTGAAGCGGTCTCTTTTATCTAAAACAGTTTTTTTTTATTGTGATTCTGTAGCGCCATCCTACAAGCTTCTTTCCTGAGACTAAAAGTCTTCACTGGCTCATTAATGTGCGAAAGCGGTTTTATACAGCTGACAGTTTACATATTTCTGAAAGGATCCGCTAGGTGAAGAATTGGATTCATACTTTTCCCAAACGTATTAGCACGTAAGTGAATGTGATGGATTCGACTGGAATTCGAACTCGGCTCTCTGAGTTCTCAATCCGAGCTGCTATCCATCACTCCACCGTGCCTTCCAAGTTATACAAGAAAAAATCAAATACGAAACCAAAGAAAGGGAAAGTGCTCATGACTCCAAGGAATAAAAACAGGAAAAAATGAGTAAAAACAAAAAGGGTGTAGGCAACAATAAACAATAGAAAAACCTGAGAAATACCTGAATGAATGACGTACATGAAGCCAAGGAATTTATATACGAGATACTTACATCGAGCGAATTAAATATACGCATTAAAATGTCGTAAAGTGCAGACGTACGGCCACATCACGTTCAAACTCTGGTTCTCGTACAATCACCGGAGTTAAGCAACGTAGAGCCTGGTCTAGTACGTAGATGGGTGACCGCTTGGAAATAGCGGGTGGTGAAAATTTAGATTTACAGGAGGTGTAATGAATAATGAAGATATAAAAAGGTATAAGTCAGGTACGCAAAAGAAAAAAGACGATGAAGAAGCCAGAGAATGAAAGTATTCAAATACGTTTATCCAAATATGAATAAGGGTACATACCTGTTAATCGGAGAACCGAGTTCTAATTCCAGTTGGGTTCGTTATATTCACTTACGCATACTTAGGTATGAATCCATTTCTTCTCCCCCCCAGCTATGGGTTAATTAGTAAGACTTTTATCTCTAAAACTATTAAGTCCAAAAGAATTCTTACAATAAAAATATCTTCTGGATTAAAGTAACCTACAAAGATTTGATAAGCCATAGAAAACGGATCAGTTACAGCTTACAAGAATCGGGGGAATTCATGTCCGACAATAATTCAAGAAATGCATTCGTTAAATCACAATCGAAATACGTTGAATATAAGCACAAAAGCAGACATGTAAGCATAATAATTTTTGAAATCATGGAATGTATGCACAAAAATTGACATGAAAAAAATAAAATATTCATGAAAAAGTCGATGTATCGATGTATGTATCTGGTGACTAATAAAAATTGGTCACCAATATTTTTGTATGAAAATGATGATCTGATGAATTAGGTTCAAAATCCTGGTCCTTAGGAAATAAATTATAATCCCGTGAACACTTAATATATATATATATGTATATGCATGCAAAAAAATATACATGCATCCATGGTATGTATGCACGAAAATCTTACATGGTATTAAGTTACATATGTATAAAATCTGCTCATGACTTCAAGGAATTCAATGAATGTATTCATGATTACTTGTTATTCCTTTTTATTTTCTATGAATATACGATGCACATGTAATAACAGAAATGATAATATAATTAACACAGAAACTATCTGAAATACAAAACCGAATTTTTATTCTATTAATTATAAAACCCAGCATCTTCATGTTTTTTTTTCCCCCAGTGTTAGTTGTTCTCTTAACGTCATCAGCGTAATCCAGGCCTCGTTAGATATCTGTCGAATCTGTCAGTCTTTAGGCAACTTTCAGCAGAACCATATGTTAAGTTTCCTTTCCTTTTTTTTTCTAAACGCTGCTATTTCGATTCTGGCAACTCACAGATTGAAATAACTGATTTGCGTTGCACCTCTAAATTTTTCTGGAAGTTTATCGCTCAGATATTGGAAATTTTCTAATTGGAATTATACCGAAGGTTATCAAACATCAGATGACACCACAATTATTACCGAATGTTGCATGCTCTTAGAGACATCTTAAGAAAGCCTGAAGAGCTACCGGCTGATGCTTTGCAAATAAAACCGTTAAAAGCGAGGGTTATATTTACATTAGTAAAAAGCAAATCTAAAATTTTCTTATCTTTATTGTTACAACGTTTCGATCATTATATCCTTCGGCCTTCTTCAGTTGTCTTCTTTAGTTAAAGTTCGAGCTGTATTGACGTGGTAGATTCCTCTCTGTCCGCTGTTCTTGTCTAGAGATAATTTCTTTCTTTTTTTTTAATTACTGCATAGTTATTTCTTTTTACTTTCCACAGAGTACCACCTATGCCCAGGATTGAACACAGTTAAAATTCTAGAAAAGTAACTAACCATCGCTTTTATCGTCTACGTTGCTGTTCCCAGAACCTAGAACTTGGAGATTTTAAATTTGATGATCATATTGTTTCTTTTGCTTCTGCGGCCTTTCTACCAATTTCGAGCCCCTCAGGCGACGTTTTTCCTACTACTGCTGCATATGTTTTGCTGTCAAAGATGGATCTCTCAGTTGTTTTCTGTATTAAGTAATATTAATTAAATTCCAATATGACATCCATATCTCCTCTCGGCTTGCCGAGAAGGATGGTATAGATTAGCTTTTACGCTGATACCGTTGTTATTTCAGTTACAGAATAAGAAAAATTGAAATGTAGACGTTCGTCTACATTGGATAATACTCGTATATTCTAAAGAGTACGCCTCAGATCTGTTAGTCTCAATCTGTCTATCCTGCGCAGGTGGTGCAATGTATAGCGACTCGAATTGAGAAATCGAAGAATCGAGTTCGAATTTCAGTCAGGTTCACTACGATCATTTAAGCTTCTGAGAAGTATGAATCCATCTTTTCCTTTCCGCCCAGATATGATTTATATCTGGAAAAGTTTTTGTTATTCTTTAAAAAAAAATGCAATATTCACTCGCAGAAAAAAAAAAGATTATATTAAGAATTCAAAATATGTTTCGTCTTTGTTGGATTATCGACTCCAGATGATAATAACAAGTTGTTTAGTTTTTGAAAGACTCGATCTCTTTTCCCTTTGATTCTGTCAGCAACGACACACGCTTCCTCTCTCCCCAATAAACTGATGATGAGTGAATCTATGCTGATGACATAGGTATTTATACTTAAAATAAGTATGGTTTCGAAAAAAAATAACTCAACATCTACGTTCCAAGAATTACTGTCCCGAAAATAGGACTCAAAATAAACATTTCCATAACAGAAACTATGATCTGGAATTAGAATGAAAGCGATGATGACGCATACATTGAAACCATCATAAAAATTCAGTATGTGAAATTAATAAACACTAAACATTTCAAATACTTCAATGTAAGTCTAGGTTATAAGAAATTTACTATAAGAAGTAAAGAAATTAAATAAAAAATATAGGTACGTTCGCTCAACACTGTAAATTGCTAGGATGCCAAAAAAAAAATTAACCTGAAAACTAAATTTTCTTAAATAGCCTCGTCGGATCGAAGCTTTTATATGGATATCATGCATAGCTTAAACTCGTTCATATATATATATATATATATATATATATATATATATATATATATATATATATATATATATATTTAATTTATTTGTAACAAACAGTTATTTCTGATGAAAAATTGAGGACAATTTGAAATATCAAATATATATATAAATAAATAAATATTTCATAAAAATAAAACATTATTATTTTTTTTAATTTGAAACTTTTTATTTTTATATATATATATATATATATATATATATATATTATATATTAGGTTGGGAAAAAATAATGACGTAAGAATGTCGTTTTTGACGTTAAAAAATACGTCAAAAAACGACATTATTACGTCATTATTTTTTGCAAACCTAATATATATATATATATATATATATATATATATATATATATATATATATAAACTGTCAACTCAGTAGAAATCGCTTTCTCGGATCAATTGTTAAAAATGTCTTTGAGCGTGTGAAGCTTGTGAGACTTGGCAAAGACCGTCCTTCTTCAAACCTTGTAGACTAGCGCCACGGAATCACAAACAACGAACTGTAACAAATAACAGAAACCATATTACCAGAGGATGTTTAATAACAGGAAAAACTATAATGCATATTTTGTAACCTAGGAAAGGTTACTGAATGAGGAGTAACCAAAACGGAGCTTGGAAATTAAATGGTAATCTTTATAATATCAACAAAATACAAAACTCGCCAGCGACGTGAAGTAGGTAAACCATTGCTAGTGGTGGATTACTTAGACAGCATATTACTCTCCACTTACTAAAGAGTCCAACGTATTTATGAGGATTGGGACATACTCATTAGTGTTCATAGGTACGGTATATAAGAGCATAGTACATGTAACTTGAAGAGAAAATAATGACATATTGAAGATGTTGACGTTCCACACTACCTCAAATAAAAGGTTAGGAAGGAAACCGCAATCAATACTGGAATGAGCAATAATAGCTGCTGGATTTAAGAAATCTATTGTCCTGAAAAATTGTTATAAGGGAAAGGTTTTATAAATTTTAACAAACAGTGGCATTGGCTGTTTCATCAATGAATGTGAAATGTTTCCTTAAAAGATAATGGCTAATATTACCATTACCATTCATAGATTTAGGAGGCACAGTGGAATAATGGATAACGGCTCAGATTGAGGAATCGGAGAAAACAATAAAATTATCAAGATATTGACACTACTTCAAATAAAAGGTTAGGAAAGAAATCCCCATCAATACTGGAAAGAGCGATAACAGCTACTGGAGTTGAGAAACCTATTTTTCTAGAGAATTCTTTTAAGAGAAATATTTTATAAATTTCAACCAACAGTGGTACTGGCTACTCGGTCAATGAATGCTGAATATGTCCCGATAAAAAAAACGGATAATATTATCATTACTATATATTAAGTATATTAAGGTGATAAACAATCTAACAGAAAGAATAACATTATTTATTATATATTATAAGGCCGGTAAAAAAAAAATGAAGAAAGATTTGAAAAATGTTAATAATCGACATTTTTCGACACCAATGAAAAATAACCAGAAGTTTGATGTTTCCGTTTTTAAATCATGTTTTTAAAAAAAATTGTAATATGCATGTATACATCTGTTGCATGAAAATTATTGGAGAGGAGAAAAATAATACTGAATTTTGTCTTATTTGTTTTCTAAGCTACAAGAATATCTCTGTTGCGTTTCGAAGCCTTAATGAATCATCTTTTAAAGTGTTTTGGGGTGATAATTTCTACTCTGGTTGTGATTGATAAAATTACCGTATTTGTTTTTTTGGGGGATTTTTTTCATAATCCCCAGGGGTAGAACAGATACGTTTAATGCGTAAACACTGGCTATGAATTATTTATATATTTATGTTGAAAGGGTGGCAGCTGTTGAAATTTGAGTAGCAACGAATTTTGATGTACAGGGTGTCCCTAAAATATGGACACTTATGCAAATATGCATATTTTCAAGAAATGCAATATTCAACGACATTTTATTTACTTGTAGGGAAAGAATTGATAACTCTCAGTCTACAAAGACGTGATAGACCTCTATTAAATGAACTGTTACAGTAGTAATATAAGCATTTATGGTGTTGGTATCAGTGGTTGCTTTCCATCTTAGGCTTGGGCAAGCTCAAGACGTCGAACTCTCTTCTTTCGGGCAGAGAGGAACCCAGGCGAGAATGGGGAGGTAGACAAA